CTCTCACCACTACCGCTGCCATCCATTGAATTGATCGATGGATTTTCAGTTGACGGTGAACAAAGTGGCTACCCAGATGGATAGTGGAGGTTCCCAAAGGCGGGTTCTTATAAATCAGGATGATGACTTTACATGGCGCATGCTACGTTGGTAGGGATAGGTTGTATAACCCCACTAGGTTTCATATATATATATATAACTACTCTACTTACCTTAATAACCCTTGTTAATTTATCGATTGATGGCTGCCGGAAGCCATCCACTGAATGTCACCTAGCACACTGATATAGCTACAAACACCAAGCTGCTTCACTATGACTTCCTTTGAGATAAATTATTTGGCATAAGGTCTTCGGTTTTCGCCCCTTCTCCGTAGTCCGTTTCTTCCAGATGGGTAGCTACACCTTTCCTATCATGACTGTATTCACGATGCAACGCGTGATGCAAGCATCCTTGGCTCCGTTTTGGTTTAATTTCTCCCGGTTACAGCACTAACGCTCGGCCTCCTCGATATCTGCAAACGATTTTTGCTGTCGGACGTGTATACCGTGATTTAATTATTTCTTCGAAAAAAAAACCAGCTTAGCCTTTTTGTGCCATATCGGTACTCACCGTACAAAGCGTGCTGTAAGTGTCGTCGTGTGTTATGGTCTACTTTGCCTCGGTCAGTGCACAAACGCTTAGTTTACGCGATATCTCCGAGTGGTCTCTGTTGTCGAACAAGGACGTTATATTTTGCCTAGTTCTTCATGAATACTTGTGGATATTCCATGCAAAACCAGTAATAAGACAGTTAAACTCAGCCAAGTTTACCAATGGTCGTTAAATTTCGTTCAGGAAGGAGCCCTTCTGGTTCCCTTCTTGGGAAGCTGTCCACAATATGCGACAGGAATATGTATCCCGCTCGCTTCAGGCCAACGCTGTCTGGGCCAAACCGCAGATGATATTGAACCCCCTCAAAGTAGGTCCGTATTGCTTGGTGCGACACCGTAACTCCTAAGGTTTCTTCATTCGACATCGGCCGTAACGGAACACACATCCGTCGGTGTGCGACCTCATTAGTTGCTGGCGTATTTGGCGTCCACATTGGCATTTTGACACGCTGGATGGCAGTCCTCTTGCTTGGCATTATTCTACCACCTTTATTGGGTTTATAGCTTCTGTTATTTCCTCCGCTTTGGTCGGAAAACGAAGCTGCAGTTATCTGACTTTATGCTACCTGGAGCCGATCGCCTGTAGTTTAGAAAGAAAAGACAACCATTATCACCTGCCATGGCGTTCATAATTACCATATTTGACTTTTCCCTTGTGCATTAGGGTGTGTTTTCACAGCTTCTCTAACATTCATTTGCGTTACACCGTCTCGTAGTTTATTTCCGCAGTTGAAATATTGGACACTTACCGTTCTTCTTTCCTATTGGTTGCTCGTTCCTTTGGTTCCTGAACTTCGCAAATTTACGAGTAGCGGACTTTTCGATTACTTTTTATTTATTGACAGTTTTTATTATTTATATTTTGAGTAGCGCGCCCACTTCCGTTGCCATATATAGGCGAAAATCTACCTATTTTTGAAGTTTTAATGCATGCATTTCGCTTCCCCTCCTCGGTGAGGTCCCACCCGTAAAACCCCTATTACTGCCATTCCCGTGATACATGAGCGTGGGGTTATTGGCTGTAAATTGGGGTTACGCAACCCACCGTTGCCAGTCAGGCTTCTCACTTATCAAGTCACCTTCAGTCGTCAACTGTATCGTAGTTAACCTCGAACAAACGGGGGTGCCTACTTAGGACAACTTAGTTAACTGTTTAATCATAGTCGTCCTGTATTGAATCTTGTAAATCTGTCCTTACCCAAAGTATAATCCACCTGCAAAATATACATTGCAATTAACGACTTCCGGAAGATTACAAGGTGCCCAACAAATGAGCAATATTTGCGACGTCTGCGGACCAAAGCATCCTTAGAGACCCTAGGATGAGTAGCCTGGAATGTTTGTTATTCTCATGTAATTGTTCCCTCTTCCGAAGAAATAGCTGAAGCATCTCTGTCATGATGCGGGGTGAATTAGTGCCATAATGGTCGAAGAAAGTTGAGCGTTATGACTTTGCTGACTCTATGAGAGCTGATCGGGGCATTAAAATGAATTCCCAATGAGCCCTTTTCGTTTGGGAAAGGGAATATTTCAAATTATCATAAGCTAACGCTTGATAGGGGATTGCTTAATTTTTAGTACAACTCAAACGACCGGACATTTAGTGAAGGAAGTACTTTTAAGGAAGTCTTCTTGAAGTAGTCAAAGTCTAACCGCTCACAGCCGGCCAAACCTAGCTACTATTTGGTAAATCAGCGATTTTAATGCTGGAAGTTAAAAAACATATAGCATACATTATCTTAGAATATGTTAAGAGTCTCTTCCGACAAAACCCAGAATCCGTCGAATAATTATAAGACAGTCACTTTTCTGAGGCTGTTTGGAAAATTATTAGAAGTCCTTCGGCTCCCAAACGACGGGCTGTTTTAAAAAAGTACTACTATCAATTACAACTGGTAGGGAATGCATACGTTGTTATTTTCATTTGCTTATTTATTTGAGGCCCAAAGTATCATTTTCTGAAACGTAATGTCCTTCGGAGTTAACGTATGAAACAGTGTAGGTTTTTTACGGAATAACCGGCGTTTACTACATGAAAGACAATTCCAATGCTGTTGAGTATCGTAGGTCATGGTCTCATACGTTTATCTATCCTACTATAAACCGACATCGGACGAGCAAAAACATTTAAAGTAAGTTGTTCCTGGAATTAGAAAATCGGATTTTACGTATAGGAGATTCTGATGAAATCTAATCAATAAGTCATAGTTCATTTAAGGACATACGAGCGAATTCAAATTTTTAAAACACTCACTAAGGTAGTTTTATGCCATTAAATGACATCCATTTGTCTTAATGCAGTGGGAGTCGCCGGAGACAAATATATACGGCAACCGCCCACATTTCATTTTCACGCAGTTCGATAAGAATGACCAGGCAAACTTTGTCTGCCGTCAACGTTCGACAGGCGCGGAAATGAGCAGCAGAATTCTGTGATTTTTTGCCATTGTTAATTATTTTAACTATCATCACGGACATCCCGTGGCGGATAATTGGTGGTAAAATAGGGCCTGGAATTCGGCAGGGCGGGCAAAAGCGACACGGGGGAACGCAAAACGAACATTTTTTTCAGTTAATACCAGAATGGAAAGTTGTTTTCGCTGCGACAAGTCACACAAAGCACAATTAAGCAGAGGATGAAGCAATTTGGTGTTCATCGGCAGCAGGCCATGAAAACGACATTATTACCCGAAAATCGGCTAAATAACGTTATTCTTCTTCCTAAATAAAAATGTTACTTAGCGTTTTTTAGTCTGGGAAGTATTTACTCTTGCGATATGGTCTTATTTTAAACTATATCTGTGGATTCAACCAGGTGATCACACGTGGGAAGAATGTTTTTACGAGAATTGACTGCACCAACTGTAAATTTCAAAAATTAGTGAATCCTACTGGTCTGGCTGACCATCCAATTTAGTAAGTGATCAGCCCAGCGGCCTACAACCAGCACGATAAACCGCAAGGCTGTTATCGGTGTCGTGAACGATGTTTTCAGTTTCATCGGGTCTTAGTTGTGTCAAATGGTACCACCTTTTTGAAAGTAAGGAATATTTCCGAGAATCTTCTGATCGTTAAAGGGTAACTTTATCGTAGGTTGATGAAATTCATTTCTTTGGCAGCAGCTGACATTTGTTAAAATTGTTCTCTTAAGTCATTCCCGACGTGAACGCCATTGTAAATGATTTCCAACGATGTAAGCGCATGAGAAGTTTGACGCTGTGCTTAATAGTTACATAGACCTGGACATCACAAACAATTTATTTGTATCTCAGCATGAAAGGCCTACTTATATATTACATGAGAAGGCAATTAACCATGTGCTAATATTTGACATCTGTTATTTTTTGATATAGTCCCCTTGCTGCGCATCAGCTTATTAATCGTAAGTTAATGATTTTTGGCAAATCTGTCCTCGGAAGCTGTGAGTTAAGTCAAGTACTCATTATGCAATACGTAAATGCAAACTTATTTACCTGTCTTGCAAGAACTACTGTTTCTGTAAGCTATAAAACCTTAGGAGTTCGATTCGGACGACCACCGCACTACAGAAACTGTCTTGCATATTTCGCGAAATTTCATCAGTTGCATCAACTTCAGCACTTCTATTCACCCACGTGTTTCTGCCGCCGGAAACGCTAGTTTTGCCATTAGTTTGATTGACTTCTGGTATCAGACCATGGACATAACTTAACGGCACGAACCGAAGTGTTTTAGCCTGTTGGTTTCTTATCTCCAACGCAACTAACAAAATATCATTCGTGAAATGAAATTTCTCTTAAAAATAACAATATGGACCTCAACAATTTAAATACAGTTGAGGTTTCCGGGTTTTTTGTCCTATCCGAAGAAACATTTGTTTGCGCTTTTTGATCTTTAACGTCATCGCTTTGGAAATGTTAGCGGAGGTTATTTGGGGTGAGTTGAAACACCTCAAAACATGGGTTTGTGGTGAGGTACCGAGCTAATTTACCTCTTTTATTTTAGTCCCATTTTCTTTGACCGGATTGCTTGTTTGAATGTGACGGAAAAAAACACACCTGTAGAACCCGCCTTGCTAGCGTGCTCCGCCGTCGTGCTCTGTTGTCAGGTTTCTTAACGTTCAAAATCTCTATATTATTCACTGCTAATTTTTACTTGCTGCCTTTAAGACTAGGGGCTCTTGAGATATAACTCGTTAGTTCGTGAGAACGTTACGTTTTTACGTCACTGGTGACCCTCACCGTTAACGCAGACTATACCTTTCTGTCATGCTGAATAACATTAAACGTGCTATTAGTTTATGAATTTCTATTCCATTTACATTTACTTTCCTCACGAATTCTGATATTTTACCATTTCTGTCTTATTATGTCTGACTCCAAACAACAACCTGATGCCCCCGCCCAATCCCTTCATGCCATCAATTTTACCTCGCCTGACTTCTGGCCACACGCTCCTGAACTTTACTTCATCGGCACAGAATCAGCCTTTTATTCTGCCAACGTTACCAAGGAGCTGGCGAAATACCATAAACTTGTGGCGGTTCTCCCCGCTAGTGCCATCTCTCAAATTCAGTCCTTGCTATCAAATCCTCTTGCAGATGTCCCTTACTCCACGTTAAAGGCAGAAATTCTCCGACTTAATTCTATGTCCGACCGACAGCGGTATCACCAGTTACTTAAGGAAGAGTCACTGGGTGACCGGAAGCCCTCAGAACGTCTACGTCGAATGCTTTCTCTCCTTGGAGACATGCAGGTTGACGATAAATTCGTCACAAAGATACTCCTAGAGCGTCTGCTCGCAGATGTTCAAAGGATTCTGGCGTCTGGTCCTCAAGAACTTACGGTCTCACAGCTGGCTGAGATTGCGGATCGAATAATAAAGGTGCAGCGGTTCCAGTCACCTTCCGTTGCCCAGATCTCCTCATCGTCAGTGAATAAACATTTAGTGAAACTGGTGTCGACCATGGCGGATGAGATGGCCTCCCTTAAACTGCAGCTCGCCCGCCTTACTTCCATTCGCTCATGCAGCCGTCGTCGTTCTCGTTCGCGACCTCGGACCGCCGATACTTGTTGGTATCACACTAATTTCGGCATAAAGGCCCGTCGCTGTTCCTCACCCTGCTCTTTTAAGCAGAAACAGGGAAACCAGTCTGCCAGAGAATAGATGAGACCCTTTCTATGGCTCTTTCGGCTCAGGTCGCGACTTCTATGTTTGCGACACAGTTACTCGCAGACGTTTTCTGGTGGACACTGGAGCCCAAATCAGCGTTGTTTCCTTAACTGCAGCAGATCGTCGTTTCCCTAGCCCTGGTCTTCACCTCCAAGCTACCAACTGTTCCCCTATTCCCACTTTCAGCAGTCTGTCCCTCATCCTGAACATTGACCTTCGTCGGTCATTCACCTGGATCTTTGTGATTGCTGATGTCCCTCATGCAATCCTCGGTCCGGACTTTCTTGCCGAGTTCGATCTCCTTGTTGACTGCCGACGTGCCCGTCTCCTCGACCGCACAACCGGTCTGTTTGTTCGTGGACTGACTCCCTTTACTGCCTCCCACCAACGTATCTGTCTTGGATACGGATATTGCTAGCCCCTTTCGCAACTACTTCTTAGTCACCCCAACATAATTTACCCCCAGTTTCGCAGTGGTGAGGTTCAACATGGTGCTGTGCACCATATCCGCACCTCAGGTCCTCCCGTGTTTGCTCTGCCGAGAAGACTAATACCGGAGCGTTTCCAGGCCGCGAAGGCGGAGTTTGAACAAATGCTGCAACTGGGAATAATTTGACCCTCCGAGAGCCCTTGGACTTCCCCACTGCAAATGGTGCCTAAGGCGACATCGGGCGACTGGCAACCCTGAGGCGACTATCGAGCCCTCAACAGCGCTACCATTCCTGGCCGATACCCCGTGCCTCACCTTCAGGACTTTGCTGGAGCCCTTTTCGTCAAAACGGTTTTTTCGAAGATTGATCTGATGCGTGCTTTTCATCAGATTCCAGTCGCCCACGAAAACATCCCTAAAACCGCCGTCACCACACCCTTCGGTCTCTTTGAGTTCGTCCGCATGCCGTTTGGTCTTCGTAATGCCGCTCAAACGTTCCAGAGGTTCATCGAACATGTCTTACGTGGCCTACCCTTTGTGTACGCCTACATTGATGACCGGAATGAAGAAGAACACAAAGAGCATCTTGCCTTGGTGCTTGGCCGTCTTGACAAGTTTGGTGTTGTCATCAACCCCAAGTGCGTGTTGGTTGTGCCTTCGCTCGAGGTCCTCGGCCATCAGGCCGACTCTGAAGGTTTGTGTCCCCTCCCGTCCAAGGTTGAAGCAGTTCGTAATTTTCCTCCTCCAACTTCCAAGCGTCGGCTGCAGCGATTCCTCGGCATGGTCAATTTTTACCGCCGGTTCCTACCGAACTGTGCTGACCTCATGCTGCCGCTCACCAACATGCTTTCTGGTCCCAAAGGTCCCCTCGAGCTGACTGGTGAAGCACTGACTGCTTTTGAGAGAATAAAGAATTCCCTTGCCGATGCCACCTTACTCACACATCCCACTCCCGAAGCTCAGCTGTCTCTGATGGTAGATGCTTCGACCGTAGTCGTAGGTGCAGTCCTTCAACAACACCTTGCTGGTTCGACTCAACCACTTGCCTTTTTCTCCAAAAAGCTCTTACCAGCCGAGACACGCTACAGTACCTTTGGCCGTGAACTACTTGCCATTTACCTGGCTGTGAAGCATTTCCGGCATTTCCTTGAAGGTCGTGACTTCACTGTTTTGACTGACCACAAACCGTTGACTTTTGCACTTCGTTCCCTATCCGACAAGTACAATCCGAGGGAAATCGCCCACCTGGACTACATCTCCCAATTCACCACCGACATCCGCCACATTGATGGCACGAAGAATGAGGTGGCTGATATGCTGTTCAGACCCTCACTGTCTTCCCTCCGACTCTCACACGGGATCGATCTTTGCGCCATGGCGGCTGAGCAACAGCGAGTCGGTTTTCCTGGCGATGAGTCTGTTAGTGGTCTCCAACTCAAAGACGTTCCCGTGACCACCTGCACTGGTACCATACTTTGTAACTTCTCAACTTTCTCTCCTTGCCCTTTCGTGCCCGCCTCAATGCGTCGCGTTGTATTTCAAACTTTGAATGGACTCTTCCACCCTGGGATTTGAGCCCCTGAAAAGCTCCTCGCGGGAACGTTTGTCTGGCCTGGCATGAACAAGGACGTCAAAGCTTGGACCCGGTCGTGTCTGAGCTGCCAGCGCAACAAGGTGCAGCGTCACAACAAGTCCCCACCAGGCACTTTCCCCAGTCCCGATGCACGGTTCAGCCATGTGCATCTGGATGTCAAAGGCCCCTGGCCTCCATCTAATGATTTTACCCACCTTCTAACCTGTGTCGATCGATATATCCGCTGGGCGGAAGCTATTCCTTTGCCGAATGTGCAGACTGAAACCATTGTGAAGGCCTTTGCCAGTCGTTGGGTCGCCATGTTCGGTGCCCCATCTACGTTTACGACTGATCTTGGTGCCCAGTTTTAGTCGGCACTCTACCAAACGCTACTCAATTTAATTATGACAGTGGGCGTTCACCGATCGGGTTACGGAACGTGCTCTTTCCGTTGTGACTTGGGGCTCATACTAGAACCCTCGCGGGCAGTCGCACAGCGACTAGTAGTAGGCATAGATGAGATGATACCGACAAAGACAAGGGAGACCGGAATGGCCATTTCTGGCTTATTAGCCGTCATAAGCCAGTCATACCCAACCCCATGCGTGGATCACTTGAGATTCGAACCCGGGATCTTTGGTCATGGAGTTTGACGCTCTACCATTGAGCCACGGGCCCGTTGTCCTGTCGGTTGTGAACGCCCACTGTCGGTGAACGCCCACTGTCATAATTGATATTCCCGATCACAACCGACAGGACAACGGGCCCGTGGCTCAATGGTAGAGCGTTAAACTCCATAACCAAAGATCCCGGGTTCGAATCCCAAGTGATCCACACTTGGGGTTGGGTATGACTGGCTGATGACGGCTAATAAGTCAGAAATGGCCATTCCGGTCTCCCTTGTCTTTGTCGGTATCATCTCGTCTATGGCTATTCAATTTCCTTGGCTGCACACGCATTCAGACGACAGCCTCCCACCCAGCTGCCAACGGCATGGTTGGTCGTTTTCATCGTCAGCTAAAGACCGCCATGCGTACCGTAGAAGACCCAGGAAATTGGTCGGACAACCTTCCTCTTGCACTCCTCGGCATCCGCGTAGCTCTGAAGTCAGATCTGGGCTGTAGCGCAGTTAAATTGGTTTTTGACTGCCAGGCGAGATGATCACTCCAACCTCTCGTGGGGTCGACGAGACTCCTGACAGTCTTGTGCACCGTTTGCGGCAATTTATGTGTTCGTTTTCCCCGGTTCCACCTCGAACTCTAATGACTGAGGCTTATGTCGAAAAAGACTTCGGCAAGTGTATTCATGTGCTCGTTCGGTGTGACCGTGTGCGCCAGCCGCTGGAATCATCATACGAAGGACCGTTCCGCGTGCCCGCGCGCAACGCCAAGACCTGCCAGATTCTTCGCAGTGACAAGGAACACGTGGTCAGTGTCGATCGGATCAAGGCTGCTGTTGCAGAGGAGCCGCCGGACCTGTCACAAGGACAACAATGTGCTGACCCACTATCCCCTGACCCTCCATCTTCCCTATCACCAGCTCATGCATCTTGCCCACTGCCTCGCCCTTCTCCACTGCCCTCTGCCTTTCCATCCAGCATACTTCCTCTCCCTACATGTCTACAGCATCCAACTGCAACATCATCGTCCACCATAGCATCTTAGACTATACTGCCTGCTTACATCACCCGCAGTGGCCGTCACGTTCATTTCCCCGATCGTTTATTTACGCATTTTTTCTAGACTTATGCATATCCTCCGACACCGTAATACGTCGCCCTCCGTTCTAGTAGGGATGTACTGTGGTGAGGCACGGGACTAATTTACATAGGACAATTTAGCCTCATTTTCTTTGATCCGATTGCTTGTTTGAATGTGACGGAAAAAAACACCTGTAGAACCCGTCTTGCTAACGTGCTCCGCCGTCGTGCTCTGTTGTCAGGTTTCTTAAAGTTCAGAATCTCTATATTATTCACTGCTCAGTTTTACTTGCTGCCTTTAAGACTAGGGGCTCGTGAGATATAACTCGTTAGTTCGTGAGAACATCACCTTTTTACGTCAAGTTTACCAACGCATAAGCATTTTGTGTGGGTATTTTGCTAGTACTTCCGGTGTCTTTAAGTCGTCTATTTTAATAAGATTTCCGTATAAGCCAATGCGGAACTTATCGTTCTGGTCAAAAACGCAAATGTCCTGTTTTCCTTAAAAGACCAGAATAAGAAAACTTTATCTTTCAACTAGGATTATACACATTTTGCCGAGACATGTCGGCGCTATCCCATAGTGTCAGGTTTTCGGTCTGGTTTGTCGAGATTTAGAATTGTTGGAAGGGAGTCTTTATATTTTTTCATAATTTAGGGCCTTGACGGAAATGCATTTGTGACTGGGTGATGTGTCCAGAAATGCAAAGGTTAGTCAGATGGGATATTTTAAGTCAAACTCTTATAGATATCAAATGCAGTCCGCGACGTTTGCCATAAAACTTTTCGTCCTTTTTCCTGCTGCGTGGTGTAACTAGAACGCGCCATTTCCCATGCGACGTCCAACTTGCTCGACAAGGCTGGCCATATTTTCAAAAACGATGAAGGTACATTACAGCTGACGCATATTTGTTCCCCTCTATTGAGGCATTTATCTACCTCGGGACGCTTTAATAGCTTTACAAATGTAAGATTTGTGACAAGCGTGATGCACAAACGTGGATAGTTGAGAATCGTGCCCATGGGAATTTTGTTTCCGGATAAATGGTTGGCCGCACATTTGGATTGTGAGGCCTTTGCCGTGATGCTAAATAAAGTGTGCAAAGATGTTAAGTTTTATGTGGTCTTTATTGTCTGAAAGGCATTTGGCCGATAGCTATTATCCACAAAAACAAACACCGACAGGGAAAACAGCAATTTACACTTGAAATGTTCCGCAGGCAAGCTGTCCCATATGAACGTCGCTCATATCCATCGCTAAACAGAACATTTGGAGAATTGTTTAGCAGATGCGAATAAGAGGGCCATCGAGAAACATCCAACGCCGGTAGACAATTGTCCGCCATCCAGCTGGTAATAGAAAAAGCGACTGCATTATTTACGAGGTAATCCTAATGGAGTGTTGCAGTATCTGATTTTTGACTGTAAGAGTCACGCGAATGTCCTAACTGTTATTTCGAAGTTTAACGAACATAAAAGGGACACGAGCCCAGACAGTCTCATTTTCAGGGATGACAACCCATATTTATTAAGCAGATATGCCCTCAAATTAGCTCACAGTACTAGGATAACAACAGAGGACGAATTTGCGGGAGGCGGCGTAGGATTTTAGCAATGACTGCTGTTTACCCGATTGGACAGCTGTCTTTGGAAAAAACGTTGTATTCACTCCTCTAACTTTTTAGTCTTTCCCCTACTCATATTCAAAAAGTTCTCTTCTGTAGTCTGCTGAATGCAGCATCTGGTAACACAAACAGTGAAGGCGAACTGAACAAAATGCAACCAATGCAAGTAAAATTAAAATGACATAAAATGCAACTTACAGTAGGTGGCTTTTTTTATAAAACGTTCACCGAAATTATGAAATGCACTTTCGATTAGAGGGAATTGTTTAGGTGGGGTTCTAATATTAAACATGTAATGGCATAACACTATGTATTTAGGTAACCTCAGGATGCCAGCCTTTGAATACGCTTTCTCACCCGATCACTTTGACTACTTAAGTAGTACAAGCTGCTTCGTTGATTTTCGATGCTTTAATGCTTTCAAGTATATTTTGTAGTAAGCATATACCAAATATTCTTTATTTTGCTCACTTGTTAGAAAATCATGTTTTGCTTAAAGTTCTTTTCCCAAGAACTGGTATCTTTTAAATTTTAAGAGTTTGCATTTAATGCACGATTGTGAAACGCTCATTCAAATAGCGTCTGTCGATATTAATCCTTCCTCCGAGGTATAAAACATGGTCCATATTTATTGTACGATTTTATGACCTTAAGGTGCTAGACTACTAGCAGAATGGAGGAATATATGATTCTCTTATGCAACAAGTGTGCAGGTTTTGCTTATGAACGCCAAACACAAATACAATGACAAGTAGAGTTCAAAGTTATTTGAGATTTAATTAGAATTTTTTAAAACAAAAAGACTTCTATCCCCAAACAAATGCGTTAAAGAGAACATAATTTTTGTGCCAGAGAGAAGATGTTTGTGCATGTTTTACTTAAAATGTTTTTGAGTTTATAAAGGCATCTAAATTCAGTGAGAAAAGTTCATATAGCTTAGATAATAATTATTTGCCGAATCCAGTTCTTGTGCGCGGTCGATATTCCATAGCGGCAAAATTAAACTGGGATTATATTGCATAACATTTAATATTGCAAACGTATCTAAACATTGCTTCTTATTAGAATGTACATTTTAGGACTTCGGTTAGGGTTTCCCGACATACGCCATGTAGTTTAGGTATGTCGCTATATCAGGCGAGTAATTTCAGAAATTATTCAGTGCAGGACACGGAGTTAAGTCTCTGGAGTTTGCCTTCTTAGGGTCAGACCCGAAATTTCTATGAACATTTGAGTCAAAGAAAATCTACTACTGTCGATGTCCTGTACTGGGTAATTTACGAAATTATGCGCCTGATTATTGTCTGGAGTTCACATACCAAAAACCGCATAGGTGACGCTGGGGGACCCACAAAAGGGCCGCACTCCTCGCAGCTGTGTCACGCAGCAGCAGAATATCGGTGAAACACGTGTCTGGGCTTTTAGTTAGTACCTATGTCGGGAATACAACAAAATACGCTTGTTGCATGGCCATATGTTGACACAGTTTCACTGATGGAAGATACAATCCGATAGGCGTTTTATTAATGCACGGCAAATCGTGCAGAATTCTTGTGTTATATCTTTACATCTAGCAAAAGCATATCAAAGGTTTTGTAATAGTACTCTCTCCGTTCTCACTTAAAAGCCTGCCAAACCGTAATGCTATCATCAGTCTTGCCGGACTCCAATACATCCTGCGCTGTTGCATTCTTTGGAGGCGAGTCTTTTGCGACAATGTAAGATATACAGCCTGCAGACAAACAAAGTCTTTCTCGTTACGTTTTCTCTGAGACAGTGCTTATAGTTGGGCAACATATAAATCGCCTATGCGATCATAGTCCGACCGTTGACTTTTAACGATGTCTACCCGGCGCTTCACAGCATTGCCTGACTTTCACTTTACCAGTTGGCCACTTCACACACACACGCGCTGGGTCGACTGCGAGCTGCGAGTTATCCCGTCAGCTGGCAGCCTCCCATGTCACGGCTTTTGGCGCACCTTGATAGCTTAATTCGTGTAAGATTGTTTCAGTGAAAAAATGGACTGAGTAGTCTGCATCACTTTTTATTTCCACTCCCGGTACCCAGCCACTGCTCAAGCCGGTCAGAAATCTGGTGCCGGGAGTGGGTGAAGTGGCTGACATGTAGTGAGTGATCAATCTCATGAGGTGTTGGCCAAATTCTTAAATGCGCCTTCGATTAGGAAGTTTTACCTGGATGGCGTTTAGTTCTAATTATAATGCGGCATAATTCTATGATATTTCGTACTTGCTAGGATGTCGGCTTTTGGATGCACTCTATTTCGACCCCCTGTATATATCACACTCCGTAATAATAACTATTTACGTGGCATGCGTTTCTTCACTGACTTTCAATGGTCTTATAAATTCCATACATTTTGTAGAAAATATGCGCAAAATAGGCTTCCTTTTACTCGTTTGGAAGAGAATCACGTTGTGTTCAATTTTACAGCCGAATGGGGATATCTTTAGGTTTTGAAACGTTTTCTAGTTGCCGCATAATTTTGAGTCAGACCAGTCGCTGCATTCGCGTTTAACGATTTTAGTCTACAAGTTGTGAGCTTTCCGCGTAAGAACAATAATACATTTCTCCCCGACTGTGAGAAGATACCATGTAGAGATCCTGCAATTTAGCAATTGGTGCGGATCGTGTTGTAAATTTAGTGAGGATCATTAGTAAACGGACGGGTATGGTGCTAAATGAATGGACCTTGTACGGTCCTAAAACATCTCATGATTAAAAAACCCTTTTAATACCGAGAAATAACCTTTCTTTGGGTGTAAAATCAGAAGATAATGTGATGCTCTACCAAACGAAAAAAAGGAAGCATAGTTTTTGCATACTACTAGAGCACTTATTTTTACGGAGTACGGTCTTTACAGGCGGTCGGAATAACGTGCATTCAAAAGCCGACATCCTGACAAGTTCGAAATATTATAAGATTATGCCGCATGATAGTCAGAACTATAACCCTACCTAAGTAATACCTCCTAATCGAAAGCGCATTTTACAATTTTGACCAAAATTCTATGAGATCTATCACTCACTGTATTTAGTGACTTCGATGGCGCGTGCCATGTGCACAACCTGTTCCCCGGACGCAAGAGCCAGAATTTCACAAACAAATGGGTGGTCGGTATGCAGAGTGCCAGATGTCGCGACTGTCCCATGTAATACGAGAGGCACAATCATTAGAAATGGGGCCGAATACATAACAGGTCTTAAAATGTCTCTCGGAATGAACGTCGTCAGCAGGCTTTACGTTAACTTGCAGTGAAAAATTGGCGATCTCAAAAATTCCACGAAATGTATTTCATACAGCACGACGTACATAGGG